AGCAAAGATTCCACTCTGCAAACAGCCAAACAAATGATTCTATTTTAATTTTGATTTGTTAGATGTTACAGCCATTGACATCTGACAGACAACATTAGGTGGATTTCTGCTATCTGTTTGCGGACTAATTAAGTAAAATAGTTTCGTTTGTAGGAAACTGGACTTACCTGTTGGACCTGAATGTATAGTCTCCGACATAGCCACCAATTACTTTAAATTGGTCTGTGCACTATGCTGTGGTAGACATCTAGAGTGTTATAGTGCAGATTGTGTACAATTCTGTAGCTTACGAGCGACAGGGAGGTACCTAACCCGGACGATAGGATCTTGAGATCGGCAAGACGCCCTATAGCTCACGTGGCATTAGGACCCGAGGGTGACAGGTTACTGTTCCGCCAGCTTAGGGAGAGACAGCAGCAGCAGCGGAGAGCTAGGGCCGCAGAGGCAAGCAGGGCATTCACAAGCGAGGTCGCTACTTCAGCAGCCATGGCCACTGCTGTGCAGCAGAGTTCCCAGGCCAGCAGCTCAGGAACTGTAGGGTCAACGGTCGCACAAAACTTAAGTCAGTCCATTGGCGTTATGGCAAGCCAGCCATTAGTGTTGACCCCTGAGGAGGTCACCATACAGCGAGCAGCTGCTTGTGAGGCACAGCTACAGCAGGCTTTAGGAGAGATAAAGGCAGAGAAAGAGGGAATGATCAGGAGAAGATCGAGGATGCAGCGGAGACAAGCGGACGTTAGTGAGTTAGAGGGGATGGACCTGACACACATGGATGATGATGTGAGGACCCTGCTGTCAGTCCTGCTAGATGTAGTGGAAATGTAGGACCACCAGACAACTCTTTTACAGGACATCCAGCAGAGCTTGGCCGTTCTGGTCGGTTGAGTTCAGGCAGCACCATCACCATCAGGGCCTGGTGCCTGGCCTGTGGTACAACCTCCTTTTGTCCCACTGCTGACTGGGGTATCCCCATATGCAACTCCAACATCGGTCCAAGTCGTTTCCCTAGGCCTGCCGTTGACAGGAGGGTTCTCAACAGGTCCTAGTGTACAGATTCCTATACAGTCAGTGTATTCCCAACCTCCGTTGCAGGTTGCCGTAACTGGGCAGCCTGCTGTCTCGCAGCCAGCACAACAGCTGGGCACACAGCCCCAACAGCAGTTAGTGCAGCAGCCTGCGCCCCAGGGTCCACAGCCCGGAGTGGGGCAGATACCAGGACAAACACAGTGGGTTCCAAAGACGGCCATCGCCTCACCCAAACCCTTTTCAGGGGATAAGAGGGGCGAAGACCTCGACACATGGTCGCGGTCAGTGCCAGTCTATGTTAAGTGCAAATTAACCTTGCCACACAAGGAAGTGCTTGTGGCTGCCTCCTATCTTGAGGGGAGTGCAGCACGATGGTTAAGCGGGCTAGTGCAACTGCAGGGATATGGACATGACTTCCGCGCTTGGGCAGTCAACCAGAAACTGGAAGACTTCCTGAAGATGGTGGAGGAGAGATGGCATGATCCTCAGGAGTCCCAAAAGGCCACTGATGCGATCCTGACTCTGAGCAATAGACCATTCAAGTCAGTAAGGGATGCCACAAACGCAGTAGAGCGTCTGATCTGTGTACCTGCAGTGCGCTATGACCCCCAGGTTTTGCTAACTACTTACCTGAGATGTCTCCCTATGCCACTCAGGAATCACTTGGCGGGTGAGGCAAACATAGGGCACAGGCACCAACCCACGACGGACGGAAGGAAGAAGTCACTGCCAATTGGAAGGCGAAAGGTCGTATTATGTTCGTAGACAACGATAGCTCAACCATTGAGTTGGACGACAACTTTCAGGAGGAAGTAGGTGCATAGGCAGGCTGCGTAGAGGCTACAGGGGGTGGAGTAGTTGCTGCCTCAGTGCAAAAAGGCAAGGCTCCCGGTAGACGCCGTGGAGGCTTCCGGTCTAGGAGTCAAGTAGACCCCAATGCTGCTCCATGGGAGAAAGAGGGTCTTACTGAGGACGTGTGGAGAGACCAGTACACCCGGCAGGCTTGTATCCGTTGTGGCCAATATGGCCATAATCAATTCAAGTGCCGAAACAAAAAGGTGACCGAGAAGATCCCGCCTACAATGGGGCAGGCGTTGGGATCCTCCGCTTTCGTAGGTAACAATGTTGCCAATAGTTCTGGAACTCCTCCGAGAAACACGTCGGGCCGGTAGGAATAGTAGTTGTTCCTGCTAGGGTCGAGGTGGTGGACACAACCTCACCATTTCGAGAGATGGCCGAAGCTAGGGTCGAGGTTGGGGCTCAACCTCCTGGCGAACGTCTGAGTCATCCCTTTTTGGTGGAGTTCCGGTTAGTGAATACGACATGCGCATGCAACACACACGCAGGGGCTTGGAATGACAGACTGCTAGGATTGCTGGGTTGGTGTGAGTAAAGTCGAACACTTTTCGTTTTGACGGGTATTGCTAACTCTGGGGGATGTGGTGAGTCCTTATTCACCAGTCAGATGCATTCTGGGAAGACTGTCTTCGTTCAACCTCCTGATGAGTCAGTGAGAGTCCGACGAAACAGTCTGGAACAGTCATGCTTCTTTTTGTCGAGTTCTGAACAACGAACATGATAACACACACACGGGAGGGCGTAACACACACACACGGGAGGGCGCACTCAGCGGAAATAACTCTTTCTATCCCTGAGCGGTAGAATCCTACTTGGTCTGGCCAGTCTATCAGGAGAGCGACCCGGCCGAACCTCCCCAGGCATGCGTCCCTGCTGTGTGTAGATCAGGCAGATTCAGCCATGCACAGTGAACTGGACTCCCCAAAGGACGGTGGCTGTGCCCTTCTATTGTGTCCTCTCAAAGCCACAGTTCTGTTAGCATGAAACACGGCATTATCTCTGCTCCGGACACTACGAAGGGATGGTCACTGCCATCCTCTGCCGGGAAAACCGCAATCCATTGTCTTGCACCATCCTCCCCTCAAGCTCCTTATTACTTATCTGATATGCTGCTGTGGCCTTACATGCCATGCTTAAATAGCTGTGAATCTCAGCCTGCTTTCCTGCTGACCCACCATGCCATGTGTCATTTATGTTTCCAGGAAGCTGTCATAGACAGTATCTCTCTACTGCGTGGACTATCCCTGATGCCATCACCTACCCCATCCTCTCTTAGCGTGTCCCACTGCAACCGCTGTCAGATCTCTTTCATCCTTGCCAGTCGAACAACACACGCAGCAGCCTGAGGGAGAAAATGGACTACCAGATGAACCACGTACAGAGTGCTGTAGTGAATGGTTTTCAACACCAGGGCAAGCTGTTGCAGACCAAATCTTGCGACAGGTGAACACCCTTACTTTGGATCAGCCCTTGTTGTTGCCTGCCGATAGAGAAGGAATGATGACTGGGGAAATCCAAGATACGTGCTCAGTGCTGCTGTGTGATGGTGAACATGTGGTTCACATGCTTTCTGCTGTGAGGATTCTGAAGACATAGCCCATTCAAGTATTTGTTTTCATACGTATGATGACAGTCGACATTACACTCGTGTATGGCACCCTGAGATGTCATGTCCAATATGTAGACGGGGGCTGGAATGGCAATGCGTATGCAATTGCGGTCGGCGTGCCTCTCTGTTCCTAGCATCCAGTTGCCATCGAGCTCGTGACAGACGTCTACACAGTGCCATTTGATGCAGCAACTGCAACTGTGAGAATTGGATGCGGCGCTTCCACAGTCCACACCCGAACCGGTTCTGTCCAATCTGGAGGAGTGGCCACTTACCATAGGCAACGGGAGTTCCACAACTCTAAATCTCCTGGAACCCACCCAGACACTGACAGGTCTCTTGCGCTATTCGGGAGTAGTCTGCTCCGGCGGTGGGTAATGAGAACCCTGCGAAGTTAATCTTTCCTCTGTTCTGTTCTTTGCCCCTCCACTTACCTCCACTTCCCTCCACTTCCCTCCACTACCCCTTCTCCCTCCCCCCCCCCCTTCGCTTCCTATAGAACTCCACCCATAAGGTCTGGGGGACAATGAACAGGCGTATACCTGTCTCTTATACACATCTAGATGTGTATAAGAGACAGTGTATATACATATCGTCACAAATTTATCAGAGCGCAAATGCGAAAAAAAGAAGGAATAAATTCATTTTTTATCTTCTTCCTTACAAGATTCCCCCTGTTCAAAACCTCTTGCGTACAAGGCCGCCCATATAT